TGAAGAGGCGGCCGGAAGTTGTCAAGGGAGCAGCTTTCCCAAAAGCAGCCCCTGCACACGGCAGCTACTCCCAGGCGACTAAGACCCACCTAAGAGTAGCTATAATAGACAGCACCCGCTTGAGAAGCTTACTGCTGAACAGGCTGGTGCTGTCCAGTCAAACCTTGAGGGTCTCTTGGACAAGACGGTCCAGGAGAACCTACAAAGAGGCCTCGCTTTCGAGGGTATTTCTCACTCCGGAGAGATCCTTAGGATCATATGTGGAGATTGCGAGTCCCTTCAATGGCTCAAAGGGGCCGTAAAGCAGATCCCCGTCTTATGGGAGGGGGCTCAATTGGAAGTCGTGCAGGCAGATGACCTCCCCAGGCTGGTCAAGGCAAGCCTTCGGATCCCGGGAAAGCCGGAAGAAAAAGGACGTGTTGTGGCACGACTGGCGGTCCAAAATGTCGGCATCGACATCAAAAAATGGCCGGTCTTCCACACCGAAACCAAGGCAAGACAAGATTGCTACAACATAGCATTAATTCAAGAGCCCTGGATTGTAAAATCCAGGATCTCGAGATTAAGCAATATGTACGGCACTGTCTTTTCAGATACGACCACAACGAAACCTAGAGCATGTGTTTATGTACCCAGGAACATAAAGGCCACCTTCCTACCGCAGCTATCTACCCCCGATTTGGCGATATGATAAATGGACCCATGGATATTGTCAACGCTTCCAGCTACCTCTCGATAGACACACCGATGCCGGAGCTTACAATAGCTCTGTCAAATCTGGTGGAGTACTGTCGGAGACATGACCGGCAACTCATCATTAGAGGGAATTCAAACGCCCACCACATGTGCGAAGACAACAATACTCGAGGCGACAATTTTGTGAAATTTCTCATCTCCCCAAATTTAGGAGTTCTCAACAAAGGCGGCGAACCGATATTTGTCACGAGCCGCTGCCAAACGGTAATAGATATTACCATGACAAGTTGGGAACTAACACAATATATAAAGGGTTGGAAGGTGTCAGACGCAGACACCTTATTTGACCATACACTGATAACCTTTAAACTGGAGGCAAAAAAAAATGGAGGAACGTAATACTATAAGGGCGACTGACTGGGATGCGTGGTTAGTAAGTCAAAGGTCGACGAAGCAATCAATAGCTTCTCTCCATATAGCACCAGGGCTGGACGGAATATATCCGCCGTTCCTACAGTGGGGTTTGAGATCAACTAGTGCTTATTTTCAGAGCGTATTTTGCTCTGGCATACATACCTGAGAAATGGAGAGAGGCAAAAGTAATCTTTATACCCAAGCCAGGCGAAACTGATTATGCTAAAGCCAATTCATACCGCCCAATCAGTCTCACATCCTTTCTATTAAAGGCTCTTGAGAGACTATGCGAACGAAACTTAAGGGAATGACCCGTTGCACGCAACCCCCTTCACCGGAACCAACATGTATATATACCAGGGAAATCCACGGAGACTGCTCTCCACGCAGTCGTGTGCAGGATTAAACAGTCTCTGAATGAGAAAATGTCCACCCTGGCAGCATTTATTGATATCGAGGGAGCGTTCGACAGAACGACCTTCGATAATATCAAACAAGGCCTAGCTAGACATGGGGCTCCACCTACCATCAACAGATGGATAGAGAGGATGCTAAGCTGGCGGGTCGTGAAAATTGACACAGGGGACACCACTATCAATGCTCTGGTTAAGAAACGCTGCCCACAAGTTGGTGTGTCATCACCGATCCTCTGGGACCTTGTGGTAGACAGCCTCCTACATAGCTTAAATGATGCGGGATTCCCTACCAGATGTTACGCAGATGACTTGGTTGAGAGCGTTCTATGCGGCTCTTAACTAAATTTCATCTTGGTGTGAGGAGCACTCTCTGACGGTGAATCCACTGAAAACGGAGTTGATCCTCTTCACCAGGAAAATAAAGATAAGTGGTATGCAAATACCCAGGCTAAATATTACCAGTCTACAGCTGACTCCAGAGGTCAAGTACCTGGGAGTTTTGCTTGATCAAAAGCTCAGCTGGAGGAGACACATTGAGGTAAAAAACGGAAAAAGCGAACATGGCCAAGTGGCAGTGCCGCAGGGCGATGGGCAGGTCATGGGGCCTCACACCCAAAATCGCCATGTGGATATACACCGCTATCATAAGACCAATTGGTTTGCTATGCAGCTCTTGTCTGGTGGCCCAGAACCAGACAAGTAAAAACGAGGGCCCTACTCGATAAAACGCAACGACTTGCGTGTATCGGGATCACGGGCGCTATGAGAACCACCCCGATGAGGACAATGAAGGCGGTCTTGGATCTGCCACCTCTGCACTTGTATGTAGAGGAGATGGCCCTTTTGACCGCCTGTAGATTAAACCCCTTGAGCTTGTGGCAGCACGGAAGCTGGGAAGCTGGGTGGGGGACACTGCCGCATACTAGCAGAAGGTTGCAGAAATGCACCCCTGCTGGGTGCGGCGGCGGATCGCACGATGCCCACACAGATAACAACAAGATCCTACAGTGTCTATACGTTGGGTGAGGCGCAGGCTACCCCAACGGTCTCAATATACACGGACGGATCGAAAACCAGTAGAGGAACAGGAGCGGGTGTTTTCTCACCTGAACTGAACCTCCGCATAAGTACCTCCTTTGGTGACCGCACCACCGTCTTTCTGGCGGAATTGATGGCGGTCATCCAGGGAGCCAATATAGCCATCGATCAAGAAATCGACGGCGAACGAGTGCGATTTCTAACGGACAGTAAATCCGTGCTGTCGGCCCTTGACAGCGCTAGAACAAACTGAAAGCTGATTATGCAGTTTATAGAGGCTCTAGACGAACTCGCACAAAAGAACACCGTTGAACTCTGTTGGGTCAAAGGGAACGACTGTTGGGTCAAAGGGAACGATAACAACGCAGGCAATGAAGAGGCTGACAGTCTTGCCAGAGCAGCTTCCGTGAAGGCCCCGATGGGACCTCAACCCATGATCCCTCTGTCAACTAACACCGTCATTACCGAAGTTAAACGAATAACTCGTTCAGAACACGCCAAAATGTGGCGCAGTTTAGAAACTTGTGAGCAGGGCAGATCAATGATCGACCTCCCTAGCAGGAAAAGAGCCGAGTATACTGTACAGTTGTCGCGGGAAAACCTCCGCCTTCTGGTAGGAATTTACTCAGGACACTGTAGACTAAATAAACACCTTTACACCTTGGGTGTTGTTGAGAACCCAATGTGTAGATGGTGCGACGCAGCAGACAAAACGGTTGAGCATGTGCTTTGTCACTGCCCAACCTTTTGTCAACAACGGCAAGCCATACTGGGGGACATCTGGCCTGATATGGCCAGGTTGAAGCGCACCTCACCTGGAACTCTCCTGCAATTCATCCAACGGGTGCGATGTCTGCGGGAAACCCGCGGGGAGGAGAATGTGCCTTAACAAATGGAGGAGACACAAAGGGTCCTAAGGCGAGGCCTAGTGTCAATGAGATAACTCACCCTCCTTTGCAACTATCCAGATCCAGATAGCTTCAATTTTAATGCCTTTATTGGATCCCAAATCAGCCTTGGTCTTTCCAATATCAGACATACCTTGCACATCATGACGAATGTTCTCACTAGCTATGCGATTGGTAATTAAATTAACCAAATTGTTATCTTCGCACTGGAAAGGATTCAGGTAGTTCTGAAAAGTTTTTTTCATTGATTTAGATGCCGACCGACGCTTGCCTTTCTGAAGTGGATTTATTTCATTGGTGGTGCCTTTCTTTTTTCGTAGCGGAAAGAGTGCCTATAACTGGGTTATATATTTGATTAAGATGAGGAGCACATAAAAAGTACCCGGTCAGTGCTTCTGCATTAAGCGTAATTCCAGTAAGTCCCCCTTTAGTTTCCGATTTTCTTGCTATAAAGCTTCATTGGCACCTAGAGAACAAAATCCGTTTCCGTTTTTATTGGATACTCAAAGCCCATAAGATAAATATTCCCAAGTAACTGGATCTTCTTTTTCAATTATACTCATTTCTGCCAGGTGGTGGCATATCATGGAAGTTAAGTGCAAAGTAATATTTTTGAAACTCGTTTAAAGTAGCAAGTCGGAGCAACTAATTTCTACTTCGCACAGCACGAATCAGATGAAACAAAAAATCACCAAGAAAAACGAAGGTCGATTGCTAATACGTCAATTTCATGTACAAATAGGAAATTCCTAACCTAATTTCATTTGTGTGTTCAAGAAGCGACACACGTTTAGTCACTAGAACGACTGGTAGTTCTAAATAGGTATTAAAAATTCTATATCTCACAATACTGCCTCACGAAACTGCAAGCGAACTATGTTTTTTTACCAGTTAGCCCTTGACTAAGAAGTGTATCTCGATTATCGATTTTTTTGTAGGTACACCAAAAGGCTTTTACCTGTGGTGATTCCTCAAATTTCCAAGGTACCTACCACCTGCTAGTAATTGCTAGCTGCGGTATTTTTTATTTACTTCCTAATAATTCCTAGTATTTCATGGTATATAATTCCTTATATTTTCTAGGCCTTATCCCTTCCTACTACTTTCCTATTCTTCATTAGGGACCTTTAAAAATCCGTCGCGAATAAAATGTGCATTTTAGTCTTTCACTTGAGAAGTATTCTCCTCATTGTCATTAATCGTTCCATTTTCCAGTTTAATTTTGCACTTACTGAAAAATCTTTTCATATGATATGGAGATGCCGAAATACCTGAAAAATAAATAAGCTTCACTAATATAAAATGAAAAAAAAAAAAAAGAAAAAAAAAACGGTCGCCAGACTAACTATTATTTATCTGAAAGCCGGACTATAAATAAGTTTTGATGTGTGCAACTAATTCACGATTTAAATCCCTGTTGACTGTTTTTGTTTTGTAGCTTTTTGTTATAGAAAAAATTGATGGTGATTGTTTTTATTGTTTTTATCAAAACATATTTGAATTATTCTAATAATTTTCTTTTTTTCAGTCAATGTACCCAGCACAATACACCTTCCCGTATACCTCTAATATGGCGACCACCTGACAAAAATGGCCTCTCACAACCTTCAGCAGCAACAGAGGAACCCTTTACACCACCCAATACATCACCAGTGCCTATATCCTTAGTAATATTGTTATTTGTTACGTACATAGGCCTCGGTGCGGCCTGTTTTTCCAACACAGGCACATGGACATTTTTGGATGCGATTTATTTTTGTTTCCTCGCTCTGGCTACTATTGGAGTGGGCGATAAGTTGCCCACTCTTCATCAAAACGACTTTGAGGGCCAACTGCATATTTTTGCGTGCTGCCTTTATATTTTCGTCGGACTAGTTATACTTGCCATGTGTTTCAGTTTGGTCCAGGAGGAATTGACAATAAAGTGCAGACAATTGGCCAATAATTTAGGATTTGGCAAGGAGTAGCGATACACTGTTTCTCCTTTTTTTACTGTGATTTTATTCGTGTTTTAGATGAGAATAAATTATGGAAATTAAATTATTATTTGTAAAATTTTTGCTGGGTTTTATTGTTACTTAGTTTTTACAGGTTTAGGTAGGTAATTCAAATTAGATAATGGCTAGTAAGTTAGTAAGTAAATAAAAAACTTAGTTAAAATAGAGTCACAAATTTGGTTCAAATTGCCACGATAAGTTGCATTAATTTACTGCGGTACATTCGCCAAAGAGTCAATATTGTTGAATATAGTCCTATCTTCAATCAGTCCCAGTTTTCTCCTAATAAGTTGACTTAGTATAAGTTGGTGTAAGTATCAAAGTAGGAAGAAGGTAAATATTTGAAAAAGCTTACTAATGATAATTACTAATTAAATTAATTTATGGAATTTTCCTATAGAAAAAAAGTAAACTTTTTGCAATCAGGAATGTCGAACATAATAGAATCAGCTTTATAATAAATTATTATATCTAATCTACGTATTAAATAATAATTAATAAAACCAGATAGTGAATGTTCAATTTTTTCTTGAATAATACCTAGGTATAAAATAGATGAATTATGGTTTATTTTTGTTGTCATCATCGTTTGACTCATTAAAATTATAAATAATAGTTATTAGTCTAGGAGGCAGTGACGATTTTCGGTACTTATTTTCCCAGTCACGAAACATGGATACAATTGTTGGGTTAATAATTCTAAGCAAAATTCATATATTTGTGGGGGGGGGGGGGGGGGTTTCGATGGGTTGTGGCACAAAATGCGTTAGAGCTTACGAATGCACGGCCCTTTTTTTTCCAGTGATAAAAATAGCTCTACCAATGAGAAGTATACTGAAGTACGTAAAAAAATAGTCCGGCTAATTTGTGAGTACCTACTTATGGATAATACGTCTGATGGCCAGTGAAAAAATGAAGATCCGAAAATTTTCAGCCAGACTCACTTTCCACTATCTGAGATAAGCCAAACTGCTATTTTCATGTACTTTATGTTGTAGTTAATGTGAAATATTTATGACTGGGAAAATAAGGGTATACTTGTATTTTTCATCAATCTTGTGAACCCATCTGAAAATTTTAGCCAGACTCGAAAATTCTTGTTTTGTATCTCCAAGAGAACAAACTATTTAATATACCTACATTAAAACTAGGAAAATAAGTGCAAAAAAATTTCACTGCCTCCTGGACTATATTCCACGACGGTATCCTATAAGAATTGAAAAACAGAGCTAAATTACATATGCATTAATAAATAAAACTTGTATTTATTATTCATTTTTTATTCTCGTTTCAAAAAATCATTAGATCAATCGTCTTTATATCATATACCAGGCACGGAAAGAAAGTACTACATATAAGTACCTACTTAATTTTCGGAGTTTTGTGAGATACCCTGTGGAGTGAACAACTGACAATTGAAAAAAATTTTCAACACCAAATTGTAGCTTGATCCTTTGCTAGTATTCCCATTTTTTATTAACTCTAACTCTGATGTCATTATTATTAAGCATTGAACATATAGCATTTCGAAGAAAAGGTGGATATTGATCTCAATATTTCTCATATCAAGACTAGAATTGGAGATAAAAATGTTGTTTTTCCTCCTTCAAGTGGTTTTTGAGAGAATTTTTAGTTCAAGGTAAGTATTGCTCACTTTTCCCCATTAGTTTATTGTGTAAAGACTGCTTACATATATAAAACGTCCCTTTGATATATTCCATTTGGTAAAATTTCCAGTTTTTAAAGCCTAGGTATATGAGGTATACTACAAACTTGAGCATATAGGTCCAATTTATACTTTCGCTGTTCACTAATGACTCAACAGGGTGTCTCAAATAACTACGAAAGTACCTTACTTTCTTTCCCTTCCTGTATATGATATAGAGACGAATCGTTTGACATGGAAAATAAGTAGGATGCATTCGTAAAGAATCTATGAAAAAAATATCGAATTCGAGCGGAGGGTTCAAGAGAAAATTGATGTCAAACTTAAGAGTCATTTACATCCACTTAATGTACGGAAAATTATAATTTACGTACGAAACTGACGGCTCGTGATTTTATCAAAAATGTCATGAGCGGAATTTCCGAAAAGCAACAAACTTGAATAAAACCTTGAGAACAATTTTATTCTGCCTACGCAATTTTTTCTCGAGTGGTATTCGTCATGACTATTTCACGTAAGATTTTGAACATAAATAGAATGCAAAAATATTAATAAAAACTTCAAATAAAAAATATCAGTTCTACAATGTCAAAAAATGGTCGCTGAAATACCATGTTAGTAGATAATCAAAGGGGATTCAACCACAAAAATCCGACCATAACCTCAATCTTTCATTCTTGACACGTGGTGGATGCGCCGTCGTTGACACGAAGGTGGATGCGTCGTCGGCGCCATCTTGCCAAACCTCATGGCGCCATCTGTCGTGAGTGCGGTGAATTATTGCAATTGATCGACAGGAAGGGTTCAAAATTACAGGTTCCTGTAATATGGAGTTTGCGTGGAAGGGATTGTTCCGAGTCGTTTCGAAATCGCTACGTATATGTAATTATGGTTCAGGTAATTACAGGTTCCTGTAATATGGAGTGTGCGTGGAAGGGATTGTTCCGAGTCGTTTCGAAATCGCTACGTATAGTTAATTCTGGTTCGGGGAATTACAGGTTCCTGTAATATGGAGTTTGCGTGGAAGGGATTGTTCCGAGTCGTTTCGAAATCGCTACGTATATTAAATTATGGTTCTGTGATGACGTCATAGCGACCTGGGTCACGTGGGTTACGTCAGTGCGGGTCCGTGGCGCCATTTAGAGTACATAGTGCAAAGTTCGATTCATGGTTCGGGTTCTGTGATGACGTCATAGCGACCTGGGTCACGTCCGTGGCGCCATTTAGAGTACATGTGTCAAGTTTGATGTCTTATAACAGGATGCTGTGGTGGTGACGTAACTATGAGGGTCCAGCAGCTAGCTTCATGTTGTACCTGGTAGAGGGTGTTCGAACTTAAGGATGATACACACCTACAGTATTGCTCATTGACCTCGTGTGTTACCATTTACGACGCCATAACTAAGTCATCAGCTGTTTAAACAACCTACGTCAAGGCGAGAAATAACATGCTGCTTACGTCACAACTGGTGATTTAACGTTGGGGAGAGAGTGGATTTGTTCCACACAGGCCTTATGAGGATAGGCTATCCTGTAGTAGTAGTGTGTATTATCCTTGGTTGGAACCAACGTTTGATGGGAAAGGGGCCTCGTTTTTTATTAAAAACATACATTTTTTAAGACAACGATTTCAAAAAGCGAATATTTTCCATCAATAAACTGCTTAATATGATCCAATCATTTTGGTGGTACGTCTTGGGAGAAACACTGCGTTGTCGTCAAATTCAACGAGTATTTCAAATCCATAGCTAAAAATATGCCACAATTGTATCGATTACCTAAGTATATAAGATATTTACTTACTAGGTTAAAATAATAATTGTTGCTCAATAATTTTATAATCCTCACTGTGACGAGAAAGAATACAACACTGTGGGCACCCCTTTTAATTCGAACTTCGCTTGACATCTGTTGATCTACCTTAATTCGTATAGTTTACTGGTTCCAGTAAAGATTTGCAATTATTTTGAGGTCTGTATCGTAGAAAATATTGGGTACACTCACTTTCTACGAGGACTTATAATTTTCTCAGCGTTTTTGATCCTTTGTTATAAAAGACAGGTCTTGTTGATTGATTTCAAATCCATATCTAAAATATTCATAATTGTATCGATATTAGTAAGTATATAAGATATTCACTTACTTGGTTAAAATGATAATTGTTGTGCAATAATTTTATAGTTCACCGAGTTTCAAACAAGACTAAAAGAGCTTAGTTATTATAAAATCCGATTTAAACTTCGAAGTAATCACATACAAAAAAACGCTGCCAAAATATTGGGAATTTCACTCTATATCAGGCTTCAGGTCTTGTAATTTTCTCAGTGTTTTTAATCCTTTGCTATAAAAAACAGGTCTTGTTGTTGATTGATATTAGTATATAAGATATTTACTTACTTGGTTAAAATCAAATTAATTGTTGTGCAATAATTTTATATTTTTCACTGGTGACGAGTTTGAGCAAACTGAAAGAAGCTTGTTATTATAAAATCCGATTTAAACTTTGATATCACATACAAAAGCACCGTCAAATGTAAACGCTTATTCGGCAGTTTTTTTATCTGAATTATATCAGGACCGTTCGCAGAAGCCGTCCGAGAAAAACAACAACACATTTTAAAGATAATTTTTTAGTTTAAGGCGTAATTATTAAGTTAGATATTTGATATGTCCATTTTTATTTTAAAAAAGGTGACAAATTCAATCGATTTATCAAAATTTAAAAGAATAGATTTAAATTAGCATCGTTGACATTTTATGAGCCAATAACCCTATGCAATACAAAATTTAAGTGGATACATTGTTACCTGTAAAAGATGAGGATTCAATTTTTATTCTTTGTACAAAAAACGCAGCATCCAGTACCAGTACTTTGAACCTGGATTTTCAAAGTTTAGTTTCTTGTGCGATAAGTGTCGGTTTCGAAAAACTGTAAGTACTATTTTTAAATATCTAAGTGATGTAGGATAAATCATGCCCTGAGACATATTTTAAATTAACACAAACCTCGATTATTGAATTATTTTTATTTTCCTTAACACATAAACATATTGTTTGTTTTTTAAAAATACAGACAACCCTAAGTACCTATTTTTTAATTTAATTCCAATAGTTTTTTTCGGAGCAACTTGAATTTACTTTTACACTTACATTTGCACAAAACTTAAATTTCTTTTTCTAAAATTTAGGTAGGTTCTTTAACCAATTTAAACTGGTTTTATTTTTTCATTTATTTTAAAACAAACCTCCATAAACAGCGAATTTTTAATTTTATGTACAAAATCGTTCACCAGGAAGGAGATAACCTGAAACGTCATGGGATTGCTAATCATCTTCCAAGATCTGTAACCCCCATGATGAAGCAAGCTAGACTTTTGCTGGTAAGTTGACATTA